AGGTACACTCGAAATCACTGAGATGAGGTGGGCGTGGCTGCGTACTTACTGAACGTCGTGGTGGCTATGCTTTTGGAGAGATATTTTCATTTTGACCCAAATGTGGTCACGTCTCTGTCCAACAAAGAACAAGATGGCGGTTGTCTCAAATTGAAATATCCCACGAGTAACCAGTTCTGTGCCATGTTCGAATGCCACGCCTACCCCGTCTCAGGGATAAGGAGTATACAATGCGAGGTACATCCCTGAAAGCGATCAATCAACGGCAAAAGCTTTATATTTTTATTACATAGTAAACTACGCAGAATGGCGAAGTGAGCGACTGTGATCACGAGCATTGATAATCCAACAACAACTCGAGAAATAAAATAAATACATATCACAGTGAAACGTTGAGGAAGTTGCAACAGTGGCTAGGTTCAATTGACTTTGTGCTGCTTATATCTTCTCGTCGGCTTTCTGAACCCTTGAGGTGAATCTGCGAACAAGAGACGTCGATGTCACAGGAGCGCTTCGGGAACTGAACACGACGATTGACGATTAGAACAGCCAATACAAAAAAGCAAGAGAAGCTGAATGCGTACTGCAAGGCAGATGTCTCAGATACAAACCCGGTCGAGGTCCTTTGCGTGTCCAACTCTTCAGTTAGAAGTTTTTCGATCTTCGACAAAAGCTTTCTGGAAAACAAGCAATTTTAGGAATGACAATGCCTGCCTTTTGCTGAAACTGTGATCTGAAGCTGGGCAGTACTAGAAACACATTACAGGCCTTATAGGTGTCATCCCTTCTTCGCATCAAAATTTTGCGAAGAAGGTCGCATTCGCATAGAATGTTCCACTAGAAGAAGCATAGCGAGAACCACTGGCCTTGTAACATGATCCTTAACCCTCTTACGCGCTCTTCATTGCGTGGTAGACGTGTGCTCTCTTGTCGCTCATTCATCGGGTCTCCATCCCGTGTGCTTAGTGCCTCTTCGCCTTCCGCATTTCGTCAAGGGCTCAAAACCGAGTGCAAAAAAGTGCAGCCTATGCGAGTCTTTCTCGGGATGTTTCCACTTGTTTCTTGAGCTTTGTTCCTGATTGAGAAGCTGACTAGCGCCTAGTCATTTTTGAAAGGCTTTACTCAGGATTTGCGGCTTTAAGGTTTCAACTAGTCGCTACACGATAGTTGACAGAGATCGCAATTGGTAGAACGAAATGGTGACTTGCGCTAATACAAGTAGGCCGAGTTATTAGCAGAACTCGACCCTACAGCTCGCAAATGCCGGGCTAGTGTGCTAACCATTACACCGCCAGGGACTTTCGGCTGAGCTTTACATCGCGGGGTAGTCTTTTAGGGTCACCTCTTCAGCTATTAGGTTGTCCGGAAAGTTCTCAGCGTTTTGTGTTACTATTTTTTGTACATTCATCCCAATGCGTTCCGGACAGTGGTTGGATGCCGACGAACCACCGAGGCAATTTCCAAAGCCGAATCCTCACGAAAAAAAGATTATGGTCACAGTGTGGTGGTCATCGGCTGGTGTGATCCACTATAACTTTTTGTCACCAGGCCAAACCATCACAGCAGAGTCCTACTGATGGAAAAAAATCGACTAAATGTAGCGAAAGCGTCACCTGCAGCCAGACTTGGTCAACAGAAAGGGCTCAAGATTTTTTGGCATGACCCGCCACACGTTTCAAACCACTACCCATAAATTAAACGAACTTCCGGATTAGTAATTCTACATCACCCACCAAGGACATTCATCAAGCGACTATCACCTTGTCAAACATTCTTCAGGGAACTTCCTCACTGGAAAAAATACTGTATCAATTCGAGCGGACCAGACAGAAAAGCCTTCGTGGATTTCATGGATTCTCGACCACCCAGTCTTTTCCTTGATGGGATTCATCAACTGTGTCACATTGGCAAAAGTGTGCTGATTCGAATGGTGCCTATTTCGATTAAATCCGATGAGTATTAAGAAAGTTATGATCGTTTAAAGTGAAACACCCAAAACGCTGAGAACTTTCCGGACAACCTAATACCACCAAAGTTCTGAATGGGAGTTGAATCATTACATACACAAACACTCAAAATCTATGTATCTCAACCCTTTGACTACTTGTGGATGAGCGCCTATCTTAAACTTTGAATACTCTAATAGGATTGTTTGCGCGTTCGTCATAAATTGCTCCTTCAAATACGGTCTTGCCTGGAACAGTAAATGCGTAACATTTGAAAAAGTAGAGCAATCATCCAATGAAAAGCCAATCTTGGAAATTCGAAAAGTAGAGTTACTGACTCGAGGTGCCACACCCCCCTTCCCCCCCCCCCCCCAAACCCCCCGAACATACCTCGTTAAATTCTAAAGATCACAGTCCTCATCATTACGGACTGTCGGGGCGGCACAGCCGCGCTGCACTGTGACGCGACAGCGGCTGCGGCTCGGTGACGGTGAATCAGCTGATTTCGATGGAATTCGGCTGCAATTCCTACTTTTTTCAGCCTCCCCAGTCCACCTCTTCAAGTTTCTAAAAGTGGAGGTGAGTTAATTCTGAACAATTCTGAATTTGCACTGCTCCGACTTTCCTTTTACCTTATGCTGCTTTTCCTTGTTATTTTGCCTTATTTTACAAGCATTTATTCTAATGAGCAGTACCAATTCAAAAATTCGTCAGAATAGCTCACCTCTCTTGTAGAAGCTTGAGAGCTGAAAACGTGGGAATTTGCAGCCGAATTCCATCGAAATCAGCTGATCCCGTCACCGAAGCCGCAGCCGCTGTCGCGTCACAGTGCAGCGCGGCTGGCGACAGTACGTAAGGATGAGGGACCTATAACGAGGCAAAGCGTCCGAGGGGAGCAGAACTAAGGCGTCTCTCGTGCAAAGCCATGAAATTTCTAGGTAGAATCGTCAAAGCTCTTTTCGCGTAGATGAATAGTTGAGTTTCAATCCCAGCGGTCGAATCGTTAAAGGCAGAGTTGTTCCCGATGCGGGGGGGCGGGTAGTACTGGATTTGCCAACTTCCGCTGATTCCGGGGTTTGGTCACTTTGTTTATTTGAAACCAGCACACAAGGAGACGTAGATGCGATGGAAAGACTGCAGACTTGTGGCAGTGGAATGAAATCGGTCTCACCACATACACGTTTCTTGATGCGGAATCTACAAGTCAACTCTTATCGCATGAAATGTCATTCGCTTTTGCGTAGATTAAGCAATGGAGCTCAGAAACTGAGTACTCCACACAACACTCCTGTCAAGTTGCTATGGCGGCAACATATGTGGCAGTAATCTGCATGGATAGCATTTATCTCGGTGTGATTAGTCTGGACGAGATGATGCATGAAATTGTTACTATAGCGATAAATGAGGAAACTTGTTGCAGAATTGGTGATCTTAAGGGATGAAGTAATGTCGGTAACAATAACTCAGAAAAGAAACCAGGTTGCCTCGATTCTTCATGTCAAAATTCAACTTTTTTCCAATAAACATCGCCCTGTGACTTGAGATGAGCATTTGAAACTACCCCGTTGTTTTGTATAAGGGCACCCGGTCTATGAGCCGCAATTCTGTATGAAGGGTATTTTTTCTTGAAAAAAATAGTGATCTAAAGTCAGAGCATGAAAGAATGTAAAAAATACTGAAAAAGCAGTTGTGGAGTTCAGAACGTTTCGTGGGCGTTTTACGCGACCATGTATTACATACCCTCGTAATCCGGGCAGTTGTTAGGGCGTCGTCCCGGCGCAGCGCGGGTCCAGGAACTATTTTGCTCTTTTCCAGGCTAATTTAGTCATTTTTTCCAACTTTTCACTGTTTTGGCTACTTTTCCCAGATTAGCAGCTCCTTATCTTCACAAGGTGGAAAAAATGACTAAATTAGCCTGGAAAAAAGCAAATAGTTCCTGGCACGCGCTGCGGCCCGTTGACGACCGCCCTAATCAACTGCCCGGATGACGAGAATAGTGCAAAATTTCCTCTAGAAAGTGGAGTAGTTCGCCCACCGAGCGTGTAAGGCAAGGGAAGCTGTGGAACAAACAGGCTAGAAGTGCGGAGCACAGCAGGCTCAGAGGCACAGCATTCTGAAAACCAGGTTTATTAAGTGGCCCGCGACACGCAGCGCAGAGAGGGACAGAGTGAAGACATCCTTAAATGACCTGAGACGACCAATGGGTGTGAGCGAATCCATTTCACAATTCTTTCATTGATTCAGCCACAGTGAGGGAATGGATAGTGTCCTAGCTTCAGCTAAACTCGATCCTACTTGCAGGATATATTTGATGCTCCACTTGTATCTGAAGTCTTGTTCGCTTCCGAGGATAGGGCTCGTCAGTGCGGCCTAGCTCTGCGTACGCCAACCGTTTTTGCCCACCAATTGTTGTCACTTACTCGCCTTAACAAATGCTGGAGAACTGTTGTTGGCATCGCAAACCAAGCCTACTGACACTCCCCAGCCTTCGCAGCGAACAAGACTGTATATAACACAGCAGCATCCGCAGCTAACAAACGATACATATAAAGGATAAAAAAAGGATAAAGTCTTCGCCGTTGATCAATCCCTTTGTGGGATGCGGCACGCATTCTACTTCCATTCAGAATCGTAGTGGCTTATTGAATGCGATGTGGCCTATACAATGACTTGCGGTGGCCAGCCGATGTACAAGTCAGTGTTTTATCCTCCCAGACGAATCTGGTACCAATTTACCGTCCCCGGAGGGTAGAAGGCTTGGTTGGCCTAGGCGGAATGAAAGTAAAAAGATATATAATATACAAAATACATAGAATTTCTTACGGTGACACACGTGAGTTCAGTTGACCGCCGAGTTGCTGAAGGATGTCTATCGTCCGGTCGTGGTCTTCCGTAATGGCTCCGGCTGCTTGAGCTGTAACCTGCACTTCGTGTACACTTTCGCGGTCTGATTGTAGTTTCTACTGAAATGATGAAGAGAGCTTTTATCTTCTTTTACAGCTGTAATTTTAGGTAATTTTTAGTTTAATTCGAGCCAAAAGCGATCGACTGTTTATGATTAAAAAATTATTCCTTCCTGCAAATTCAATCGCCAATACTTCTCTAGAGTCACTAGAGCTTATATAAAGATCGTACATCCCAATCTCACAGTGAAGCAGCGGGAGGGGGGGGGCTATGATCGAACATCGTCTCCACAAATAGAGAGCATTGATAATGAAATGGAATTTTGTGTTTATACCCTCCGGACACGCGGTGGCTGCAGCGACAGCAGGTGGCACGCCGCTTACCACTCGCGCGGCGCCGGGTTCGAATCCCGGGTCGACACCCGCCCAGGCCAACCAAGCCTTCTACCCGGGGACGGTAAATTGGTACCAGATTCGTCTGGGAGGATAAAACACTGACTTGTACATCGGCTGGCCACCGCAAGTCATTGTATAGGCCACATCGCATTCAATAAGCCACTACGATTCTGAATGGAAGTAGAATGCGTGCCGCATCCCACAAAGGGATTGATCAACGGCGAAGACTTTATCCTTTTATCCTTTATACCTCCGAGAGTGCCGTTACTATTTGAAATGATTTGAATCCTTTGTCCCTGCTAAGTTATACCGATATCAAGAATACTGTATATGGCCTTTAAACGACACAGACACTTTCAATGAAGTTGCCGCAATTTGCGAATTTTTGTAACTTTGTTCGACGTCGTTCTTTTCACAACCATTCTTCACAAAAACGTAGGCGCACTCGTAGCATGTGCAGACTGTAGAGGCCCCACACTAAGGCGTAAGTCCAACCCCTTTGAGTACACCCACTTTGCGTCTTCCGCGTCTGAGCATCTTCACCCCCCTTCTCCGGAATTTCCTCTTTTTCAGTAAATGTAACAGCGGGGTCCGCCTATTATTAGACAGCACCGCGCACTTCAACTCAAAGGATCCAGATCAACAGGGTATGATTTCGCTCTCACTCGCAACAAGCTTCCCCTGATTTTTCGTTCCGAGTAGAGAGCGAGACCATACCCTTTCAGTTGAGACCAACCTGTCGATTCGAATCATTCGTCAAATGTGTGCAAAGATTCTGGTCCGAGAAAAGAGTGATGTCCCGCAAAAAGGCGCAAAAGTGGGCGTGGCCAGAGGAACGGGGGTTAGCGTGTCAGTGTATATGATGCTACATCTACGAGATCATTCGTTTTGCTGGAAAGAATATCAATGTTGAAAAATGGACGTTGAAAGTTGCCAAAAGTTCCAGAAAGCGATATTTGAACTAAAAAAGTGCAGCGGAGTCGTTATCAGTTGAGGCGGTGCTGCCGAAACAGGAACAGCACAAAAAAAAGCCGGAGGAATACAGGAGGGGACATTTTATTGAAATTCTGATCGGACATTTCTACCACCATATTGAAGAGCATATTAAATACTATCATGAACTCCGCCACAGCCTTCTGGACGAGCGCCATCGAGAGATTCTGGCGGCGATGTGGTGCCTGAGATCAGCGAAATAAGAATCGATGTTTCGCCAGCGTAGACCAGCCATGTTGAGCTCTGCCCGAACCTGGTAATTGAAGTGGTTTGGTCAGGTGACTTACTTGGCCATTCCATCTTCTTTAGGTAATGAGCCCCTTCCATTCCAAGTAGGCGAGAATTTTTCCAACGCCCTTCAATTTCACTGTGGTGGCACCCAATGCTGTAGCAGTACAAAGTTCCCAAGAAGGTACGGGCGACGACGGGCAGTGAGCGCAGGATATTCTTCACAAGGTGCGCTCGTGTACCCCCCGCGGCACTTCAGTCCGGGGGTCTGCGAAGGAAATATTGGCCTTTCCATTCCAGGTTCCCTACCATCAGCCGTGCCTGCGGCGACTGCGGTGAAGATGATGTCCTAGACCGTGGCGACGTTGTCGGAGCTGCTCGATGTTGGAGGTCATCCAGATCGAGAGTACTGGTCTCCAGGTAGCTATCCCTAGGAATTCGCCAGCTGTTTGGAGGTGACGTGAATTCCAAAGGTCTTCTCCAGTCAGGCTGCGACTGGAGATGACTTCATATTTTGGTGTACATGAAGGTGATGGGCGAGAGCCAGCCCTTGCTTATCGAGGAACATCTTGGGTATCTTTCCTTGTCTCGTATCACGTCCTCTGTCTGCTGGCTGCGAAACAACCTTGCTGATATGTGACTCGGATCGAAGTGGACTTTTTTTTTGCACCCCCCGCCCCCTGTAGAGCTCATTAAGTGAACTTTGGGAAAACGTGACAGGAACGCGCTGAGAATGGGACGTGGCTTGCGGCAGTATGTATGTACATACAGAGTTGCGTCTACTATTTAACTGGACTGCGCTTAGGGAGCGCGTCGATTCAATTTGAATAAAATCCGATTTGATTTGAAAAGGGTCCGATTGAAATGAAAATGGGATATTAGTCCGGAGTAATGGGTAATTTCAGGAAGCAACGTAATTTGATGATGTTACTATCTCACTAAAGCCTTACATTATCTAGAAATAATTTTGCGAAGCTGCACTGTTTAGTTAACACATTGATGATTCGTTCTCTCCGGAAAGGGATAATGAAAAAATTAAGAAAGATCACAAGAAAAAATTAAACGTTGCTTCGCACCTCGTTGCTGTTGCTGCCGTTCTTGTGATGGTGGCTTCGCGAAGAGTAGTCTCGCGATATTTGCAATTCGTGGCTTGCTACCTTTTTTGAGGAGAAGATTTAGCAATATGATCACCCCTAATTCTGATTTGGAAAAGGCAATTATTATTAGGTTGTCCGGAAAGTTCTGCAGGTTTTGTGTTACTATTTTTGCACATTCATTGCTGATTAAAAACTCATTCTCCCTTGCGTCTCAGTAGTACATCCTAAAGAGAATTCTTTGCGCTATCTGATGGTATAACTGCCGTTTCACCATTGCTTGATGAACCCCTTTTTTCAAGATTTTTTCAAGCATGTGAAAAGAGCACTTCGGACGATTTTTCTTCGACTATAAATTGGGGCAATCCGCAATCGAAACAGCTCAACAAATTAACCAGGTGTGGGGGCCCAATAGTGCTAGAGAAAGCACTGTGCGGCAATGGCTCAACAAATTTCGTTCTGGAGATTTCAGCCTTGAAGATGAACCTCATAGCGGTCGACCTAAAGCAATATCTGACGAGGATTTTAAGGGGATTTGAAGGCTGACCCATCCCAAACAGTTCGAGAGATTGCAGAAAAGCTAGGCGTTGGCAAATCCACTGTTGCAGATGGTCTGGACATGGTTGGGACGAACACCGAGGGCCTTCGAACAATGCGTTGAATGCCGACGAACCACGAGCCGGCGTGCCGGGACAGTGGTTGGAGCCGACGAACCACCGAGGCAATTTCCAAAGCCGAATCCTCACGAAAAAAGATTATGGTCACAGTGTGGTGGTCATCGGCTGGTGTGATCCACTATAACTTTTTATCACCAGGCCAAACCATCACAGCAGAACCCTACTGTGAAGGAATCGACGAAATGTACCGAAAATTTTGTCAGCTGCAGCCAACACTTATCAAAAGAAAGGGTCCGATTCCTTTGCATGACAACGCCCGCCCACACGTTTCACAAATCACTATCCATAAATTGAACGAATTGGGGTTGAAGTTCTACCACACCCACCATATTCTCCAGACCTTTCACCAACCGACTATCACCTTTTCAAACATTTTCAGAACTTCCTTGCTGAAAAATACTTCATCAATTAAGGACCAGGCAAAAAAGACCTTCGTAGATTTCGTGGATTCTCGACCACCCAGTTTTTCCTTTTATGGGATTTCTCGACTGCTGTCACATTGGCAAAAGTGTGCTGATTCGAATGGTGCCTTATTCGATTAAATCCGATGGAGTGTAAGGAAGTTGTGATCGTTTAAAGTGAAACACTCGAAACCTGCAGAACTTTCCGGACAACCTAATAACAGATTACTAAGGTTATCACAAGAATGCTGAGTTGTGGGCAAAAGTCGTGCCCCAGGCGGGAGTCGAACCCGCACCTCACGCTTTCCGGGCGAGTGCGCTATCCGTTACGCCACCAGGGCCGCTTTTAGAGAGTTAACGTACGTAGCGTATAGAGTAACGGCCAGCGCCATTCGCCCCGGAAAGCGTGAGGTGCAGGTTGGCTCCCGCCTGCGGCACGACTTTTTGCCCACACACTCAGCCAGTCTTGTAATCGAAACGCTTACTGCGGCGTTGGAACAGCAGTTATCATAACAAAACAGCTTCAGATTACCAAGATGTTCTACTGAGTAAACTAACTGATGAAAAGCACTGGAGAAAAGTAGGGTTTGAACGTTTCCACTCTTAAATCTCGAGTTGCTCATTCATTGCGAGTTGAGATTAACGCAGAGCTTAATGATTCAGTAAATACTCGTACAGAAGATAAAGTAACCATAAACCCACGATTCTCCTGTATTGTACTTCTCTCCAGTATTTTTCAAACATACTAATCGCAAGGCATACCACAGCGGAAGCACCAGATGCTACTCTTTCACGAATTTCCGAAACAGGTCTTGTTTGGTAGCGATTTGTCTCCTTTTCAGCGGTCATGACTGGTTTCGCTTGTGTTGTTGACGGTGCAGCCTCAAAAGTTATTTATAAATACATGTCATGATGCTGTGCATCAAAGATTCATTACTCAAAATATCTGCCATCAAAAATCGATTACGCAAACTATCAATAGTTTTCCATCTGAAGTGCATTCTGAATGTTTCTGTTCAACCACTATGACTCCAAACGTCATTTGTTGTTGTTGCTAATGTTGAGATCCAGAAAGCGGTACAGCATCATTGGCGAAACACATGGCGCGCGTAGAACGCTGCTGGTAGAGCGGGGGGGTCGTATTTTGCCATTTTAGCGAGAGCGGAGAGAGGTTGTAGTGTGCCTTCGAGAGAAATAGCCGAGTGTTTTGCGAAAATCCTTTTTCCTGTCTCAATATTTTCCCAACTCGCTTTACCTTGCGCGTTAATCGTTATGAAAAACAGGGAAATACTCGGAAATTTTTGAGAAACACCGTAGGAAAGTGAAACATGCAGGCGAAAGGGTGGGGAGCGCTTGATTGGAAGGGCGTCGTACTGAGAGGAGGTATCACGACAAAGCGGCGTCGCACGAGACGCGCCCCCAGTAGCAGTAGGGAGACCCTCTTCCGAGGAGGGTCGTATTGGATCACCACCAGTTCACACATCACGTGCTGCCGGAACAAGGCAAAACTCCGCATTGATCATCCAGAAAACTCAAAGACCACCAAAAATTCCCAGAAAGATCTAAATCTCTTATTATCTGCAATATATTCATGCTGCCAAGCACCTCATCTGCCCCTTAAATTCTTACTCTTATTCAGTTAGTTGGACACGCGTAAATGGATTGATTGGAAGAAGGGCAACCCGCGTAAGTTGGATTTATACAGCAGGTATACTGTCTAACTAAGCTAAATAACAAGCCAAAAATGTCAAGCCTGAAGAAGGTGCTAAGCGCCGAAATATCGCAAGGCAATATATATTTTGAAAAACTTTTGAGAATTTCTTGCTGTCTTTTGAGTTTTTTGAAACAAACATTTGGAGTTTCACATTGTTACCTCCCATTCCAACATCAGTATTGGAAATATGGATGCGATTTTTGGTCAGGCTAAAAGAAATTCTCTGGACCGTCCCTGAAGGGGTGAAAACCTCGACAGAACACGATAACTAGAAGGGGGTAAATCTGGGTATGTGTAGAAGCAGAAAAAGAGAAAGAATGACGGTAAGGAATGCTATAATGTCACGCTAGAAGTGATGTACTACCGATGTTGTTCTAGGCGTCGCCTTCGTTGTTGGACGTTGCGTCGTCTTCGGTGTTGGACGTGGCGTCGTTGACGACGTTATACGCGCTGTTGGCACGGGAGTCGAAGGCTAAAGAAAAGGACGGAAAGCCTTTCAAACCGAAGGAATGGGCATAGTGTAGAAGAAAATATCATGCACAGAGCCTCTCAAGTCACCACACATCAAGAACCTGTAGCTGGAACGTCCCTTCATGCGTATTTTATGTAGTATTTTTCAGGGTCCATCTCGTGCTTACCTCTGCAGGTTCCGAAGGCGACTGTTTTCTGAACGCTCCCGATGAAGCCCAAGGTGTGTTCTTTGCAGGGGCCACTCTCGGAGGCGGTCGTGTTTGAGGTGAAGCCCTGAAACTCAGTTGTTCGCTCAGTGCTAGTGATTATGGCTGGAGCACTTATTAATGAAGGCCGCATACTGCAAGCATGAAGTGGGCAAACATATTGTAGACAGTTTCCGATGCTATTAGTGCCTGGTTGAGAACAATATTTATGTACTTGCAAGCACTACTGCAAAGGAAGGACGAGAATCAGTCATCGAGACCTTCCTTTGTAACTCGCAGAGCGCGGCTTGTTCTTGTTCAGAAATTATTGGCACTTTTCGTGTACCTGATACATGGATATATACATTTTAAAAATTTTCTGAGATTTTCGGTGTCTTTTGAGTTTTTGAAAAAACATTTGGAGTTCACCCAGATCACCACTGCGGTAATGCTCAATTGTTACGGAATATGTCTTGATATTACTGAATATGTCTTGGAAGTGTAAAAAAACTCTCCTTCAGAGCCCAGGCCGCGTAGATCGTATGGACGGAGATATGGGTGGAGACAGCCAATAAGTATGTCTCCTTCATTAGTGCGCCTCTGACCTTCACTGTTGTGGACCAGATTGGAAAAAAACAATCGTTAGCTCTCAATATACGTTCTGTTAGGAGCAGCGTCATTTTGAAAAGTGTGACCCTCCTTTGTCGTGGAATAGACAAATACGTTTAAGCTTTGAGGCCAAATGGTTGGCATACAGAAAGAGATTCCCTGGGGTAAACCCACGAACGCGTCACCAAATACCTAGTACCAAGCTCCTATAGGATTCAGTTAACGCGCTCGCTGTCTTGGGTTTGATATGTGAAGCTGCTCTACCAGTTCTGCCGTTTATAGAGAATCTAGCCACTCCTCTTCCGGGAGTGGTTCACCCAGTGGAAAGCCCCTTCATATCCAGTCACAACTAGTCTCAACTAGTCCCTTTGCGCCACAGCGGAAGGGACGTTGTGGACAGTACTCGCATGCGCCTCCACTTGAGAATCGGTCAACCCAAGAGAAAAGTTTTGACCAAACTCCAATAATTCAGTGAGGAAATAGGGATCTCTATCATATGTGTTTTTGGAACAGTCAAATGTAGTGGCTAGATTGGTGTTATCTACAAATTGATTTCAATCAAAGTACGCAGATGGTCCAAGTCAAAAGCAGGACCACCCCACACCCTCAGACAAAGTTTGTCTCTCAAGGTGATAGAGCAAATGACATAGCGCAGTCATGACAAGGGGACCCTAAACTGCCTCTTGGGACTCGTTAAGCCCTAAACTGTCTCTTGGGACTCGTTAAGTAGGGGTATTATCAAAGTGTTGGCGGATCTTTTCCTGATGGATGGAGCAACCTGTTGCAGCCTCAAAAGACGAATAAGTTGAGGGATGGGAGCAAAATTTCGCGCGAGATAGAAATGTGGGCCGGGCTTTAAAAAAGCGAGGCTCAGTGTCTCATTGTAGTTGCGTGCAACTTCGAGTTCATTTGATGTGCAAGATAGGTTGTGAAAAATAACAACGTCGAAAATAGTTGCAAAAATTCGATATTTGCATAAATGTACTTGAAAATGTGTATTCACAGTAGTTCAAGTCATAAAACAAAATTTGAAAAATCATGAGCGTGCTGAAAAGGGGACGGTCGGGGGGGGCTTGCAGTACAGTTATGCTGCAATTCGATGAGTAATTGTCTGGTGGGAAAATTGAAGGTGAATTTGATTTGGAAATTGGTGAATTGAAAAATGCTATATATACATCGCAGAGCGTGATCGCATTTGCATGCGAAATCCATGGGCCATGTTCTCGGACCCCTTATCAAGCAAATATGACGCTCATTGATAGTTTGGAGCAACTTCCAACTGCAATGATTTCTGCAGATCGGACATTATTTGCTTTGGCCTTCCTAACCATGCTGAGGCGCGTCAGCTGGGCTGGGTTTGGCGCTCTACACCCCGTACTGTACCAGTTGTTGAAGCAGGGTGTGCGACGGACCAGGAGGGTGGTGTAGGTACGACCCCACCCCCTCGAGGGAGGGTCTTGGTAAGACCCCCACCCCTCTCCCAACACTTACCCAAAGATTTTCCGTCGAGCGGGAGGGGGTAAATATAGCCATTCTGAACGGAAGAATTTCTTGGACTTTCCCCAACTTCCTACCACATTCCGGAATTTACTGAAAATTTCCCTACTTTCACCCAAAAATTTTGCTCTCGAGCGGGGAGGGGGGAAGGAGGATTTTTTTCAAAATTCTTTCAAGGCTACATACGGCCCCTCTCCCAACAACGACCATACGACCCTCTCCCCCCAGCCAAAATTACGACCCCTAGTAGTTTCACACAACGATGCTGTACCCTGGCGACGACAGCTGATGGAAAACAGCTACTAGGAACGATACATAACAGTCTTGCCGCTAGCAGAAAGAAGAAAAAAGAAAAAAACGGGCTGGACTGCGCCAAACCCATTCCCCATTGACACGTCCCATCCCTCGCAGCGAACAGGACAGTATTCAATAAGATGATTCAGTGAGCTTGCAGTCGAACTTGATAAATGTTCTGTGCGAGGTGCGAGGCCGACACCCTATTTTTACCATGCGAAATCAACAAAATTGAATCGTGAAAAATCGTAAAGGTAACAGGAATCACCACTAAAACATCTCATCTTTTACGCAAAACTCTGGTTCAAAAAGGATGCTGTTACTCCTCTTAGGCTGACCAGATATAAGTAAGTGTAGCATTGTCCCGGGCAATTCTGCTACAAACTGACCGATCGTTAAACTCTTTGACTAGCCTAAGTGTGATTTCATTCCCGTGCCGAGCCTCGGCACGTGTTGCGCACTTAGTCACTGCACCACGTGCACCCTTTCACCGAAAGACAACATACTTACACTGGTATGACGGGTGGCAGGGTCATGGAAAGCATCGGAAAAGACGGTTTGTCCTCCTCTGTCGCACTTTCTTCGTATTCCGTTTCATAATCTTCTGGCCCAACAGATGGATTCGGATTTGAGGAAAAAACACTGAAATCCAGTGAAGTGAATATTGTGACCGGGAAGTATTGCATTGTGACAGTCTTACATGGAGGACTCAGCCACACCCGTCTCGCAGTACATCTCATCGGATCCATCGCTGCATTGAGGAACACCATCGCAAAGCTGATATTCAATGAATAGAAATCAGCATAAGCATATTAGACTTTTCAAAGGTGCACCTGAGTTATGGGGATCTCTTCTGTACGGCTTTGGCAAGTGAACACTCTTTTGTCTTGGCTTTTCCTACAAACAATAAAATTGGAGACAGCAAGGACCGACAAGTAGAAAAAGGCACAACTTTAGCTTACTTGCAGAGCATTTCATCTTCTCCGTGGGGACACTGGCGTTTGCCATCACAGCGTTCCTCGTCGGGAATGCATTCGCCACTTTTTGCGCAGTGGAATAAGCCATTACCACAAACTAAAAGTAACTTCTAAGTATTGCAACTTATTGCACTGCATTGCAATGCTCATTGATTCCTTCCTATCTGCTGAAAATAACTGTCGCATCTTGGGGAACTATGCGCCAGCTCTATTGAAAAGGGAACTAAGACCATCTGTGCGGCGCTTTCGCGAAACAATGGTCGACCGCTTCTGCGAAACACTTCGTGGCTTGAGAATTTGTCACCAGAACACACTATCTGGTCAATACCACGTGTGGCGATGAACTAAAACTCCAGAAAAAAACAAAACCATAATACATCATCAGAAATATGAAAAAACAAAAAAACATCTGTGAAATTGCTCAATTCTTCTGAATGTAAGAAAAAACACAGGGGAAAGCGCGCACATACATTTTTCTTCAGCAATCTTCAGAGGCTTCAGAAAAAAACTCGCTGAAACTTTGACTGTAAGGATTACTCAGTGCTCTATACGGATATTACATCACTTCCAGGGCCGGCGCCGTTCGGCCCAACACCTTTTCTTTTGCCAAAATCTGTACAAACTAGCATACGGGAGTTATTTAATGTCATGATCACGAATACGACATCGATTTTTGGCGCCAGAACGGTTGCCACAAATCTCCCTGCTAATTTTTTTTACTATTATTATCTCGTTTAGTTGAGGAGGGTGGGGACCCAATCATATACATGCCGTATTATGGGCGCCAGCGCCGTGTAGCGCTGTGCTGTATCTGTAATACTGAGTATGGATGGACGTATGATTCGCTCTCTATACAGAGCTCATCGTCAGCCTTAGCAGAGCGCAGGTAAGTTCAGCGCCAAGTTGGTGCCTGCAATACTCTGACATCAAGTGGTGCCAGCGCCGAGAATGAACGTCGTATCCGCAATCAGGACACCAAATAAACCTATGTAGTGCGCAAATTTATAGTGGTTCTGTCAAAAAAGTGGTTTTCCGAGCAGGAAAAACAAGAAAAAGGTGGCAGCACTCGAGGAGCAGTGATGAAAGTCCTCTAGAGCAGCCTATACATTCCTTGTTAACAGTTGTTTCAGCGCAATAGTACGTGACCAGAGAGCACGAGATTTGCCTTACTGTACGATCTGCGGGCAGAAGGTGCTGGAGGCAAGTATGGTTAGTTCATTCTTGAAAGTATGCTACGCAGTTATTAAGTTGAAAATGACATAGAACGATAAGTAAAGTAAAGATCATCTTATCAGTAGTCACTGAGGACAATTTTTCACAACTGGAGCACTCACCTTCGCAATAGCTTTCATCGGTGCCATCACTGCACTCTGTGATTCCATTGCATCGTCGTCTTTTGTCTATGCACTGCTCAGACACGATACATGCAAACTCGTCTGCTGTGCAGAGCGCTGAAAAGTCAATTCAAAATCCAAATCACTGGAAAA